GGTGTCCCCAGGTGCGGGAGCGGCTGCGGGTGGCCCTGGAGCGCGTGGCCGTCCTCGAGGAGGAGCTGGAGGTGTCCAACCAGGAGGTGGGGACACCGGGGACACCGGGGACACCGGGGTGGTGACACCGGGGTGGCGGCACTGGGGTGTCCCCGTGGGTGGCGCCAGGAGTGACGCCCATCGCGGTCCTTTGGAGGGTGGCATCTGTGCCCTGTCCCCCTGTCCCTGGGGTGGCACTGTCCCCGTGTCCATGTCCCTGTCCCGGGGGTGGCACTGTCACTGTCACTGTCACTGTGTCACTGTCACTGTCACTGTGTCACTGTCCCTGTCCCTGTCCCTGGGGTGGCACTGTCACTGTCACTGTCACTGTGTCACTGTCACTGTGTCACTGTCCCCATGTCCCTGTCCCTGTCCCTGTCCCGGGGGTGGCACTGTCACTGTCACTGTCACTGTCACTGTCACTGTCACTGTCACTGTCCCTGTCACTGTGTCACTGTCACTGTGTCCCTGTCACTGTCACTGTCCCTGTCCCTGTCCCTGTCCCTGTCACTGTCACTGTCACTGTGTCCCTGTCCCTGTCACTGTGTCACTGTCACTGTCACTGTCCCTGTGTCACTGTCACTGTCACTGTCACTGTCCCTGTCCCTGTCCCCACAGTCGCTGTCCCTGCGGGAGCAGCTCTCCCTCTCCCTGTCCCGGGGGTGTCCCTGTCCCTGTCACTGTCACTGTCCCTGTCACTGTCCCTGTCCCTGTCCCTGTCCCTGTCACTGTCACTGTCCCTGTCACTGTCCCTGTCCCTGTCCCTGTCCCCACAGTCGCTGTCCCTGCGGGAGCAGCTCTCCCTCTCCCTCTCCCTGTCACTGTCACTGTCACTGTCACTGTCACTGTCACTGTCCCTGTGTCACTGTCACTGTCACTGTCCCTGTCACTGTCACTGTCCCTGTGTCACTGTGTCACTGTGTCCCTGTCACTGTCCCTGTCCCTGTCCCCACAGTCGCTGTCCCTGCGGGAGCAGCTCTCCCTCTCCCTGTCCCGGGGGTGTCACTGTCACTGTCATTGTGTCACTGTCACTGTCCCTGTCACTGTCACTGTCCCTGTGTCACTGTGTCACTGTGTCACTGTCCCTGTCCCTGTCCCCACAGTCGCTGTCCCTGCGGGAGCAGCTCTCCCTCTCCCTGTCCCGGCGCCGCTCGGGCCTGGAGGACGCGGCCACCGACGGGGACAGCGCGGTGAGGGACACTGGGGACAGCGGGGGTCAGGGGTCACC